TTGATTGACTTGGTGCTTTATGAGTGCAATGCCGAGACACAAGCAATGCGCCACAACTACCGTTTTCATTTTAAGCCGCATTTACTGTATATTTTCTATAAAAATGCATCAAAAACCATTATTTTTCCACCAACCGAACAAACGAGTGATTCTGAATCTCGTATCCATCAAATTACCGCTAATCCCTCTTTTATTCGACCCGGTTGTTGTCGTCGTCGTCGACGTCGCATCCACAAAATTACAACATGACTGCCGTTGCCGTTGCCGCTGCCGCTCTTTGCCGCGACACAGAATTTGTACGGCTTAAAAGCTTAACCGAACCAAAATTATTCACTCTGTTTTATGTGTCTTTTCGTGTACATAACAAGAATTAGTGTATGTTTGCGGCTAATATATAACATTCAATGTAAACACACACTTTGTGTGCGATGTAGACTGAATTAAAATATAAATTTTAATTTGTTTTGGCAAAAGAGAAGTGCGTTTTAATATATATTATATAAATTATATATCATTTAATTTGCTAGATTTTAAATATTCATATTTATTAAGTAGATAATAATAGACATAAATTAAGATGTACATGAACACTACACCAGACAACACGAAAATTTTCACATTAAACATAATAGAAAAAATAATATGAGAACAAATGTCATATTGAGCCCAAGCTAAATTTATAATGAGCTTACGATCGATATCAAGATAACCAGCGATGACGATAATTTATAAAACTAGTGGTGTATGGCATCGCGCCTTAAGGAAAATGGCTGGAACTTCCCGTACCGTAATGAAATGTTCAAAGAATATGAAATGTTTTCATGTTTTCATCAATGTAACAGTGTATAATATTATATTTATAAGAATTATATAAACTGAATTGCAAAGTTGAAATTATTTGTTTAAAGTATATTAGAACTTTAGTCAGAATTAAATTAAAACGTAAATTATTTTCGATACACAAAAAAATTTTGTTTTGAAAAAAAAGTGTAACAATTTTTATTCAAAAGCGATTATTTTGTTCAAACAAGCAGACAGTTCTTTGAATCATTCAAATCAGACGCTTAGTGATCTCAAAAATTGCAATTAATTGTGCATTTAGCTCAGTATGTTTGAAATTACTGAACCTGCCTTTGCCAAAAACTATTTTTGCACATCTCCCTATCAATAGAAATCGATTGCTCTTTGAACCATTCAAATCGGTTCATCCGTTCGCCCGAAAACGTATTGCCTGGTCGAAATTTTGTATCCATACATACATACACACACACAAACATACATTTTTTCTGAGGTATGCCGAATGTTCAGAAACCTTCAAAACGTGAAAAAATACAAAATGTAGATTCCAATTTTGTTTTTTGGATGATTACAATAACTTACCCTACGGGAAGTTAAGAGAAATAGTTAAAAGAAAGAAAAGTATTATAAAGAAATTGAAGATTAAAGAGATTGAAGAGATATTTAAATATATTCAAATATAATGCTTATAAATGTAGAATAAAATAGAGATGATATCTGACTAAGATGTAAAAATATTATGTCAATAAAATAATCTACATTTTGAGAAGTTCATACAGTTACACAGTCATTGCCCTAAAATATTCTGAATAACTTGACTTTTCATGATATATTGTTTTTACAAAAAAATTATAGTTTTATAAGCATAAAGAATATATTCATCAATACACAATATTCTGCCACTTCTTCATAGCGAGTATATACGTCAATCACAGTTAAATGTTAAATTAGTTAATTGAGATATTTAATTTCAGTAATTATTACCATTTTACCCTCGGTTCTCATACCGAAGTCTTCGCGTAAAGATTTGCTTGAAAAAAATTTCAAGTATCCAAAATATTTCAACGTATAAGAAAATTCATTTTTTCAGAAAAGTCAATTTTTTCGAAAATTTTAAAATGTTCAAAAATATATTTTTCAAAGTTCTAACAAACGTTTAAATCTTTTTAAAAAAAAAAATTATTTTCCGTACGTGAAGTTTCAGAAATTTGCTTAAAGGCACAATGCTATGCACCAATAGTTTATTTGACATTTTGGGAAAAAATGTCTTACTAAACTAATCGTTTCTTCACAAGCAAAATGTTGTTTGAATAATTCGAATCGGATCTCTCAAAAACTATTTTATACGAATTCCATTTTAAACAAAAAAAAACTACCATTTACTTTAAATAGTTATTGTTATTCATAATTATACATATTACATTGTATGTCAACTTCATATATGTAGTTTTGAAAAAAATCTCAATACAAACTTTCACGTTTCCAAGTATGTATTTCTCCTCTAAATCCAAATCCTCGTGGCTCTGAGCACAACTGATTCAGCCTCAAAGTGTTTGTTTAATAGTTGGAAACAAAGCAACTCACAATGACTATGACTATGGGGATGTTTTTGCACCGACTGACTCTATATACAATTACACAAGAGCACATGCTTCAGGCAACCGTCGTCTTTGAATTACGTTTTTGCTTTCTGGAAAGCCGAGAGCCGAGGTCTGCGCTTTGTCACTATTGCATTTAGAGGTGTATATGGTGAAACAAAATGAAATCGGTGGGTAGTGTGGGTATTGTGTACGGAAGTAATTAGATTTGTGCACTTTAAGGATTAGATTAATAGTTGTTTAGTAAGTCGGAATTGTTTTTGAAGTAAAACTTCTTTACGCGCGCTAGAAGAGTAAACTGATGAATTGAGCAAGGGTAAAGGAAAAACTAGTATCTAATGCATGCCACCATGCATAACCATTTGGCGTAAGAAGATTGAAACGTCGATGGCCTTTAGATTTAGTCTTAGATTAGCTTCAATATAACATTACCGTATTAATTGTTTAACTAAGAAGATTTCACTGGAGTTCTTCTTAGATAGCGCTCTCAAATATTGTCAATTTAGCTTATAGGAATCCTTATGTATTTCTGATTGCTGAATAAGGAATTTTGCTAGAACTTTATGTATCAAAAACTATTTTTTTACAAAAATCTATAAATTTCCTGAAAGCATTGAATAAATTAGATTTTTGATCACTGTGAAATTTTTGAAATAAAAATAGACTTTTTTGAACATTTTAATTTTTGAAGTAAAACTTCTTTAGACGCGTCTAAGGTGTAAATCCGTACGAATGCAACAGAAATACGTTACGGCAGAACTGTGCATTATTCGCTTTCAATGAAATCATTCTTGTACGGGTCGATTGTGATTAGTCGCCGTGTATGTGAATAGAGATCTGTCGTTTTATACGTACTGGCATCAACGTTGTATGCGTACCGATATTAACAAGAAAAATTTAATAACATTTTAAAGTGACATCGTAGTACAAATCTTGACTCAATGAAAAATGTCCGAATCAAAAGAATTTTTCCCTGTTCCTTGAAAATAATAAAACAAATTAAATATTTGGGCAGTGTACTAAACGTATGTTTATCGATTAGAAATTATTGCTATATTATTCGTAGTTTCTATAAATATTTGAAGTTATTAAAATGGAAGATATTTTTAGGCAAAACAGATATTACAACTGTTCAAAGAATGAGATCATATCGTCAGCGAAAAAGTACAAAAAATACCATCAGTCAATGAATGTATGTTAATTTTAATTACATGAAGTTCTTCAAACACAATTATTATATGATGAGTAAAGTTGCAAAAACAATATTTGTTTAGGCGTTGATTAACATAATCCCCTGTGTGAACGAATATGATAGAAGTTATTAATCAGCAATTACTTAATTTCCCTAATGAATGTTCATTTCTACATTCTAATTACAATGACTAACCGATCATGTGATATTTGAAGTATGGCTTTAATTACATTATTATTTTTAAATATTATACATATTTTAATGCTATTAAAAATATATAATTTATAATTTATCATTATATAAATGTATATAATGGTTGACACTAATAAATGTGTTCATTACGTGTGTTACCATATTACTAATAAACGTTATTCAAAATTGTTATACGATGTATTTATTTTTACTTAAATGCCATCTTGTACAGTAGCAAATAAGTTTTACTTCAATCGCGTGTGAACCTTACACGCACTCCTTTTTTATATTTTGATTTTTTTTCGAAAATTTTGAACTTTTTTCTCAAACATTAGTACATAAATGTAGAAGACAAAATTTGTACTTATCAGTAAAAGATTTTTATAATATCTGATAATTTCATGTGAATGAATATGTCTAAAAATCATTTTTGACATTTGTGCAGAGTTAACAATATTGAATAGTGTGTCTAACTATATTTAGCAAATAATAGAACAGATGTTTCAATATTGAATATTGTGCATGAATAACTCAGAAATAGTTGTGTGGGTAATATAATTCCAGTGAATCGTAGATGTAAATATTTTAAATTATTCTAGTGTACTAAATATATTAAATTCGTTTTGAAATATAAACACATTTGTACTAGGATGGTATCGAATATATTCCATACAAACTTTTAGTTAATTAGAAAAGTAGTAATAATCGCAAAAAAATCTAAAATATTTTTCTTTATATATTTTCACGTTTCAAAGGAACATTTTGGCATATCTTGAAAAAATGTTGTATGTGTGTGTGTGTGCGAATCCAAATCTTGGTACAGGATTTGGTGATCAATCGATTTTAAAAATTCAAAAAACAATCAATTGGTACTTACGAGGGGATTAGTTTTGACAAAGCAGATTCAGCCATTTCGAAAATCCGGGGCAAAGAGTAACAAAAGTAGGAATTTAGTGTTTGAAATAACGGAGTGTCTAATTTAAATAATTCAAAAAACGTTTCATTTGTATTGACAAAATGAAGAACTAATGAATGTTTGAAGAATGTTTAAAATAATCATTTTTAAATCAATGATTAAAGCGAAGGCAGTTCTCAGAGATCCAGAAAAAAGTAAAAAAATGCCATTTAAGGTCAAAAGTTAAATCCTGTACATATTAAATCCTACAGATTTTTTTATAATACTTTTTTCAAATAAATCAAAATAAATAAAACTCACTTACCCAAGTCGTAGTTTATCATTCTCTCCCCGTGGTACCAGAATACGTACAACGGCGTCTCAGTAGAATGACGAAGGTGACAGGTCAAGCGAATGGGTGATCCGGCTTTCACGATTTTATCAGGTCCACCCACGATATCTGCCACGGCCTCTGCGAATATAAATCAAATAGATGACTAAGTAATAATTTTATCTTACATATTATAAATTGAATAAAAAATTGCATTTACAAAAAAAAAAAAAATTAAATAGATACACGCGTTGGGTAGAGCGGGACTTAAGGGGTTAGGGGTACTTGGGATTTTTGAAAAATCGATTTTTATTTTTTTGCATTTTCATTAAGGGTAAGATCTTGAAAATATTCTCTGAAAATTTCAAGTTGATCCGATGATTACTTTTTGAGTTATTGGACTCTTACCAGCGCGTTGACGCAAGTGGAGAGCTCGATACTTATACTCAAGATCATTCTCCCTCACCTCCTGATGTTTTAAACGCTTTCAAACCGATTTACGACGATCTCAGCAATGATAATTTACTTTTAAGATGTGTAGTTCAAGATTAAATCCATAATCAGAAAAAATTAAAAGCTTCAACCAACTAGTGTAAAAAATATACCTAGAAACCGTGAATACTAGTTTTACTATCGTACAAATTGCTGAATGCATAAACATAATTATTATTATTGATTATGGATACCCTAGAACCTAATTGTGTGTATAATTCCCATTGGTATGCTGAAAAATTGGATGCGGCACGTGTGAAAGTGGCAGATCAGCGCGCCAACGAGAACACTCAGGAGGCCAGAATGCTTTGTAGGCAACAGCAAATGGAAATTTTGGAAACTTGCACAATGACTGATAAACTATTATATGGCCCAGATATAGATGGCTCGGTTTAAGTAATTCAATAATTCGAATTTCTGTACGTAAATCCAATGTGAAACTTTAAACGCGTTTTTCTCAAAACTATGTTTTTTGAAACGGTGACCACTGTAACTCGAAAACCACTTAGTAAATTTGAATGAAATTCATACAGCTTTTAGAATACATAATAAACTCGTGCCTGATCGAAGGATTTTTATTTTTTCAAAAATTTGAATTTTTTAAGACCAATTAACTGTTGATTTTTTACCCAAAAATTTAGATTTTTTCTTTCTGATGCTGCCATTTTGTTAATTTTTGCAAAAAAAAGAAAACCTTCGATCCGGCCCGGGATTAACTATTCATAAAACTATTTTTTTAATTTGATTGATTTTAGATGAATCTCTAAGGAGTTATGATGGTCACCGCCAGGACCGTTTTTCGAAACAGGGTCAACAAAAACGGCTGTAACTTTGGGAATATTAATTTTTTTTTCTGAAATTTTTGTTACATCAAGTCAAAACATTGTATAATAATGCTGTATTAATATTTTTGTAGAAAAACATCGTTTAATAACAAAAAAAAATACTGAAAACACTCATTTTTTCGTGCCTGCAAGTACCCCTAACCCCTTAAAGGTCTACGCACAAAAAGATTAATTAATTAAATAAAATCAAACAAAAAATGCTATTTGATAAATTTTTTAGTTTTCAAAATAATTAAAATTTATAATTTTGATTTATTAAAATTTACTGATTTAATAAAAATCTATATAAAATTGCATGAAATTTTCAACGCAAAATGATGTGACAAGGTTCAATTTCTGTTTTGGTCCTTGGTTTTTATTTGGTTAACAGTGTCAAAAAATAATCTGCGTTTTCAAAATTTAACACGTTAATCGCTATGTTAGTCATACGCCTAAAAGTTCCTCAAGAGCCATGTCAGGCTGTTTTTGATAAAAAAAAAGATTTATGAAAAAATGCACTGCCAGTCGTATGAGTGTGACATAAAAAATAGTATTTTTTCCGGAATCTTAGAAAAAAAATTTTTTTTGATACATTAAGTTTTCTTGATACATTTTTAACTAAATCTTTTAATTAAGTAACGATGACTCAGGTGATAACTATACAAATAATTAGATACAATTAAGCCGTTAGGAGGTTTTAATAAAGATTTTATGTATGTGTTCAAAATATAAAAATATTTCAACTTATATCATTTCTAAAATTCAGGAATTGTATGTTAAATTATAATATAATTAATTATATATAAATTACCATAATAGTTAAGTTTGATGTTAAAATGTATGGATAAAATTTTGAGAAGCAAAAATCAAGTAAAAACGAGAAAAAAACTTTTTTTTTCAGACTTTTGAGAATAAAAATGTATGTGAAAAACCAAGGAGAATAAAAAAATCCTAAATTTACTTTTTCATACCAATTTTTATTTAATGGATGTTATGCCTTTCTAGATTTTATTTGCAATATTTCTCATAATATATATATATATATATATATATATATATATATATATATATGTATTATGAGCCATGAGTTAGGTTGTCAAATATCTCCCTTCCGCTTTTTTGTTCTTGGTTTATAATACAAAAAGGCGGAAGGGAGATATTTGACAACCTTATATATATATATATATACATAGATGAATTTATAAAATTAATTAATTTATAGCAATATTCCATCCAAGAGGCGTAATTGCTTTCCCAATGTAAATAAGAATAAATCTTCGATCTTCCCCGGTCTGTTAGTAATAGCAAAATAGAATTTCAGTAGAAGCAATAGTACGGTTTAATTCCAAATTGCTTTTTAATTCAGGAGAACATTTCTCTGCGAGGAAATTATTGGAGAAAAGGACGAATTAATGCGCCTTCATTTCAGAATGAGCAAATGAGCATTTGAGCATCTATAGAGAGGAAACCGTTTTATGCAAAGATTGCGAAATCGTAGAAAATAGAAAAGTAAGATGAAAGTTTTACATATTAAAATATAGCAATCGTTACATAACAAAAAAAAATCACTAGACTAATTTCATTCCACATTTATGTTTGCCGTGAAGTCATTCTAAACATTGAACATAACATAACTTATTACTCACCAATTACAAAAAATTATATTAACAAATATATTTTCAATTTTTTTCACATAATTAAATAGAAAAGCTATTTTCCTTTAGTTGTTGAACATTATATGCTTTCTGATATAAATTAATTGTAGACTTCATATATTTTTTGGCTATTTATACAATATTGATAAATCATCACACATTTCCTCAATAGAAAAAAGCATGATTTCAAAATAACGAACTGGTATATATTTAATCCTTAGATATTGATAGTGTCAGTCATCGTTAATAAATTGAAATATATCCCCGATATATATATATATATATATATATATATATATATATATATATATTAATCCCTAGGCTTCAACCGCAAAAAAGCTACAAAAAGCCGAATGTGTCAAACCAGTTGTGATATCTATAGGAAATATTTAGTGACAGCCAAAATAAGCGGTCGAAAATATTACAAAAACCAGAAATGAATTATGGGGAAAGGGTCTGATTTATGCCAATAGATCAGTATGAAGAAATTTATTGAACCAATTTTTTTAAAAAACATGAAAACTGATTAAGGTGAAAGATTTTGTCAATTACTCTCAAAGTTGTTAATTCGGTAGAATTTTGATTTAGAAGAAATTCTAACAAAAATCTTAGTCCAGTTATTATAATTCATAAATCTCGGAATTCGAAAGACCCAGCTGTAAGTCTGTAAATACTCTGTAAATAAACCCTAAAAGTTGTCTCAAAACTTACATATGGTAGGGTCTGCGTACGATATGTAGGTTCAGAGACAACTTTTAGGATGTACTTACACTTTAAATGACTGGATCATTTCTTGATTTAACTTCTGGTAAAAAGTTATGTAGTTTTTATTTAATCTTTCACTTAAATCAATACAGAGTACAGCCAAGAAAGTTATCTTAAGCATTGAATTTTTGTAGTTTTTAAAAGAGTTTTATAATTGCAGTCTATTTGCATCAAATTGAATTAATTATGAAGTTTAAAAGCATGGAGTTTTCCATTTGTTGATTTAGTTTATTAACTGTAACTGTTATACATATGAAATAATTTAATTTCATCATTCTCACGTTCTTTAAGTAAATAAATGTTTAAATTAATTTTATTTTTTGTCAAGTTTTATTTTTAATCACCTATCTTTTCATTAATGATTCCTGATTCCCAATTTTTAATCCTAAATCTATTATTAATACTTAAGACTATATATTTAAAACCAAGTTATAGTTTTATATAAATAATTCTACCACTTTTTTATTTATTTATAGTTGTTAATAACAAATTTGTTAAAATAAATTGATAAAAATAGAAAATATGATCTTTTTTAAATGCTTATATTAAAAATATTAGATTCTTTCCGTGAAATTTTTAATTTTAAAATATACATATTCGAAAAATTTAAAAACATTTGAAAAAATTTAAAAATAAATCTAAATACAGATATTTTGATAGCTTAGAAATTTTATGAAAACTTGCAATTTTTTTCAAGACTAAAATTTTTCTATTTTTTTTTGAAAATTTTAAATTTATTTGGAAGTTTAGGAGATACCCATTTATATAGGTTGCGATCGCTAAATAATATTTATTTAAACTTTTTCTGGATCTCCAAGCTTGCATTGGCAAGAATTCAATGATTTTTTTTATTGAAAACAAGTGGAATGTTTTTTGAATCATTCTAATCGGAGGCTCCGTTCTCTCCAAAGCTTAATTACCGTTTTCTGAACTCTTTACTTGGTATCTCCAAAACGGCTAGACCTGCCTTGGCCAAAAACTAACCAGCGTCTTCTCATCAACAGGAATCGAATGTTTATTGAATCATTCAAATCTGTTGATTCGTGCTCTCAAAACGTGGAAGAAAAATGTAATCCAAAAATACATACATATATTTTTTCTAAAGCCAAAATGTTCAAAATGGTTTGAAACGTAAAAATATAGAAGAAATCATTTTCGATTTTTTTACCTTACGGGAAGTTGAAAAGTACACATTTTGCGTCCATTTTTTGCGTTCTCTAATAATTTTTATAATATTTATTCTTTATCTATATACACCAAACAAATTTTCTCGACATTCTGGATGGTCGTTTTCTGGACCAACTGATTGATCAACTGATTTAAATGAATTTCAAAATTCACAAACTTTTTAAAATTTTTAAATAGTCGAATTCATTCACAAATTTCTAAATTTTAAAAAATTTCGACTTTTTCAAAAAAAATTGTAATTTTGCAAATTCGATTTTGTGAATGAATTTTAAAAAAATGTTAATTACGGCACGGAAAGTTTGAGAAACTCTAAGGCACGATGCCGTGCTACTAGTTACTTTATAAAATAGGTTTTCGTATAATGTATAACATAGTTTTTTTTCAATAAAATAAATTTACTCACCTACTAACTTCAGTTCGGCGAAGAGACTCGTCGGCGGGTGCGATGAAATTTGGCATTCGTACAATCCTGCATCGCTTTCTCTAGCAAAACGTACGTGCAGTGCAACGTCCTGTAACAAGACATTATTACATTTGACAATTTCCGAGACTAAATTGAAAGCAAACATAAAACATGAGAAAATAAAGACTAATAGAACGAATGTTAACAAAGAATTGCAGTCGTGTACAATTGTTATTTTTAACTGTCCAAAGGAGAAGTTTGTTTGTTAAAAAAATGCGATTTACTAATTTTATTTCTCGACGTTTTAAGCCATTCTGAATCGAATGAGATCAAATTTGAAAAAGGTATGTGTGTGACAAGACAATATTACACTTGACATTTAATTTTCTAGACTAAATTGAAATCAAACATAAAACATGAAAGAATTAAGACTAATAGAACAAATATTACCAGAGAGTTGCACACGTGATAAAGTTGTTATTTTTAACTTTCCGAAGAAGTTTATATATTATGTTTTCCTCAAAATAATCGATTTGATAATTTCATGTTTTCTCGACGTTTCAAGCCATTCTGAATGGAATGAGACCAAATTTGGAAATAGTGTGCGTGTATGTGGGTGTGTGTGTGTGTACAAATTTTTAAAAATCGGCTGGGCCGATTTCAATAATTTAAAAGCCATTCGATGTAACTCGATAAGGACTAACGTTTGTCAGTCTTGCGCGACAATCAGCCAAAAGCGTTTTTATGTAAATTGCAAAAAAGTAAAAAAAAAAAAATTGTCCCAAATCTGAATCGATTTTGGAAATTCAAAAACTGTTCAAAAGATATTGGTTGGGGATCGTGCTGATTAATTTTTTTTAGAGATCGGCCGGGCCGTTTTCTTGTATTAAAGTGTTTTTTTTCAACGATTATTATTATTATTCTTTTAACGCTAGATACCATAGTTTTATAGGTCAACTTGTTTAACTTTAAAAATTCGTCAAAGTTTGCCAAAATAAGTATCGTTTTTTTTGGCATCTATCAAAATCAGACCTTTCATCGACATTTGCTCAAAAACGCCTGAACCGATTTCAAAAATTTAAAAGCCCATCGATGTATTTTGTTGTGGATTATCTATTCTCAGTTCTGTGCAAGCAATCGGTTGAGCCGTTTCTTTGTAATTTGGAAAAAAGTGTTAATTTTTCGTCCACTCATACGTCAAGCTCATACTACCGAATCAATTTTAAAAAATCAAAAACTGTTCGAAGGATATTAGTTGGGAATGTTACTGATTAGTTTTTGGTAACACTGGAACGTGTTCTTGTTCAACTGTTGACAGAAAATCGTCGATTTTTATAATTTTTTTTAGCTAGATATCATGGCCTTCTAGAACATACTAAAATATTTCGGCTCTACAACAAGTCGTTTAGTTTTAAAAATTCACCAAAGTTTAAAAAAAATCAGTAGTGTTCTTCTTTGTTAAAATTAGACTTTTCATTGTCGTTTTCTCAAAAACGGTTAAGTCGATTTCAAAAATTTAAAAACCATTCGATGAAACTTTATAAGCACTCACGTTGATTGAATGTTTGATACTGTCTGCTGAGAAGTTTCTTTGTGATTAGCAAAAAAGTGAAAAATTACGCCCACGTTTTATCCAAAAATTCTGAATTGATTCAAAATAAAATTTCAAAACCATTCCAAAGATATTATTTGGGAGATGTAATCAGGTTTGAACAAAGATCGATCGAACCGTTTTTTCGTAGTAAATTGTTGAAAAACAAAATTCGATAAAAAAAATTCTGGTCATAGATAACAAGTACATATATAATTAGTATAATTCTAAAGTACATACTAAACGTTTACAGCAAGTAGTTTATTATAAAAATTCATCAAAGTTTGCAAAAAAAATTAGTCAGTGTCAAAAATTGATTTTGTGATGTGATGAGTTAAATATTGCCAATTCATTAAAATAATCCATTGAAAATAATCTACAATTTTAGGATATACAAGCACATGCTTGTGCAATACAATTGAAATAATTATAGATAATTCAAATGTGTTTGAGAAAATTCAATTGCAAATCGCAAAGTTTAGATTGAATTGAAAGCAAAAACTGTATCTTAGAAATGAAATATTAAGAATTTTATCCAAATATCTAAATCGCAATTTCGTTTGATTAAGTCAGTTAATACACCATCGAGAAGTTCATGCAACTTGCTTTGAGGCTAAATGCCATTTTCAACTTCGTGCGTTCACCATTCGTGCTTTTGGAGGTTAGGTTTTATGTGTATAATGCTTGACATCAGTTATCAAAGCGACAACTGAGAGTTACTCTGATGATGAAACTGTTATTTGACATTTGTGCTTTTTGGAGGTTATGTTTTATGTGTGAAACGCTCGGCATGACAATAATATTTCATCAGGTACTAGTCATTAAAACCAATTATTAATGTAAAGGTTATTTCCATAGAAGATATTTTCCTAAATTATGCCTAAAATTTTATCAATTATTACCAATTTTCAATTCATAAATGAGTTATAAACACGATTGCCTTGATCGGTAATCAAGGCAAACAATTTACTAAATGCCAAAACAGTTTACCATCTATTTGGTCGTTGATAAGTCAAATAAGGATTTCATCATCAAAGGCATCAAAGATCTGAGGAATATCGGATCAAACGTGCATTTTTGACAGCTTCTGATGTAATATCGAAAATTCAATTACACATCCAGTAATTAGGCACTTCCTTGCTACCAAACAGCCTATTTGCATGACAATTTTAAATCAACATTGAGGGGAAGCCTAAATTTGTAGGTACACGACTTCTGAGCAAACAGGGAAATCCAGTTTGTTCGGCAGGCTTGGGAAATGGCAGTGAAATGGTGGAAGAATTTGCAGTTTATAAACAGATGAAATAAACTAATTAGTGATTACTGATTAACACTAAACCCACGGCGCGGGTCATATTGACTGTTTCAAATTTTGTGCATAACTCAGGCATTTTTAAACGTTAAAATATCATTATTAAACTATATGATAATTCTTAGAATAAACTCTTTAAAAAATAAAAAAAATGTTATGTGGTCTAACTACCGCGGTCGGTCAATTCGACTGGTGGAAAATAATAGTAGGTGTAGAATTATGCAAAATATACCACATGTGCCAGACAAATTTTAAATAAAGTTCTGGGTAGTGGGTAAAGTTAATAATAAATATATAATAAATGGGTTTCCCTATTTGGAATACGACAAAGGAGAGATGGTTTAATTCTTCAATTGTATGTTTCGTTGTTCTGAAACTGATAAATTCATTCACAGATTTAGAAGCAATTTGTATAAATCAAATTTCATTACTCTGACCAATCCAAGAAAAATTGTTGTCCCAAGTTTCACACATTATCTAATAGAAATAGGAGAAAGCATCAAAAGTGTACCGAAAACTATTGAATTTTATATTAGTACACTGTTTGGTGAAAATGTGGCAGACTAGATGATAAGAAATGTAACATAAAGTTAAAAATTCTTAGGTGACAACTTTATGTTTATTTAAATATTTTGAATTATGCTAGAAGTGTGCGTAAATTTATATAGAAAAATGACAAGTAAGAGCATTTTTAGACAAGAATTCCTGTTTTGATTAATTTTTTAACTCGGCGATGCATATTTAACATTTCCAAAAAATCTAGTTTTTATCAACACTGTCCATGAAATCGGCTTTTTGTGGACAAAAATCTTGTAGAATAAAATTTTGTGAAGGATACGAAACAACAATAATATTTGCGTCTAATGTACATTTTAGACTAAAACCCATAAAAATGTGGACAAAATTTGTTCATATTATTAAAATCTCTTTAAAATATCCGATAATTAGATGTGCATATATCGAATGATCTTTCTTGACCGTCAAATGGCATTTTTTCAACTTTTTTCGATGAAACTTTGTAACCACTAGACCGGCCTTACCAAAAACTTGAACAGTTCTTCGTTCAATCAATACAAATAAAATGTTTTTTGAATTATTTAATTTGATCTTTAAAAACTCGATTTCGCATAGTTTGCTCCATATCTCCGAAACGGATGGACCTGCCTTTGCCATAAAAGTAATCAGCAGATCTCCCTATCAATAGGAATCGAATGCTTTTTGAATACTTCGAATATTTTTAAAAAATTGTATCCATTCATATTACATACATACAAACACATCCATTTTTTCTGAGGTATGCCAAAAGGTTCTGAAATCATCAAAGCGTGAAGAAATGTGAAAATGTTCAAGTTCGATTTTTGGACTATTACAATAATTTAACATGTAGCATACTTTATAAATATTCATTTTTATTATTTTTTATATTATAATTTGCTTTATAAATTGTATAAAGATAGATTTAGATAACATTTCATAAATATTTCTTTAAATTATGTACATTTAACATTAAATCAATTATTATCTGATTTAAATAATAAAATAAATAACTTTTTAATAATAGGTCAATTTGACCGCGCGCGGTGGGTACAGGTATATACGAATTGTCATTAGGTTTAGTATTAAATAACAAGAAATTCATAAAAAACATAAGCATTCAGAGAAACAAAATAAAAATAGAATATAATCACTTATTAAATTTACCTGAGCGTTTTTGCCGTAGGCCGCAAAGAATCTCTCGTCGCTGCTGTAGGTGGTTAAGCCGACGGTTAATAAGTGATAATCTCGCCTACGGATCCAGGTCACCTGAAAATAAACAAGAATTCTATGTAATATAATTCTGTTAGAGAAAATTATGAGCGAAAACAATTTGGTTATCCGCAAAATTAAAAATGTGTAGTAAATATATTACATAAACGCGCAAAAAATTCTGTAGAAAAACTATTTTCTTTACGTTCTCTTACGACTACATAAATAGTAAGTAATACATAAATTAAATTACGAAACCAACCCTAAACTCCATTATCCTTTGTTCAAAATTAAATTAAAAAAATTCAAACGTAACTTTTTAATTTTGAAATATTATTTATCGGTATGATTGCCAGTTCCAATTTTTTTAATAACCTATACTGATATTTACCAATTTGTTAAATATTATTGTTTTTTTACACTACAGTTATACCAAAATGTATATTCATCCACGCATATGGATATTAAATGTACAATCGCTGCAAATGAAATGCTTGAGATATTTGCTAAAAACCAATCGCTCCTTTTCACATATTAAAAATGCGTTTCTCTCGAAAACTATTTGAAGTGCGATCGAAATTATTCAATAGCATTTTCCTTATGTTATAAGGTATCAACATTGTAAAAATCATCAAAATCGGAAACAAAAAATTTTCATCCAAAATCGGAATACAATACGTGACCCCAGGGTCATGCTATAATGTCAGTTTTTTCTTCTTTATTCGGCAACAGTTGAGAATATTAAAATGCAGTTTTTTTCATGTTATTCTAGCCCACAAGACAATTCACCTGACGTTTAATTGAAGCTTCTACGTGCCCGGGAAGTCTGTGAAAAATAAAAAAAACTAACTAATTTTTCATCCATTTTTTGGGCATTTTTACTCATGAAATCTTTGAGCAATTATAACATTTGAAAGACTCATCATAGAATATTGATGTTTTCAGGTGAAATATTTTATATCTAGACCATGTTTAAAGAATATCAGAAAATATCATTGAAATCATCATTGACAGTCAACTACATGATTTACAATTAAAACTACTATTATAAACTAATTAGTTTACTATTATTAGTAAACTACAATTAAAAACTAATATAATTAAATAATCAAATTTTATAAAAAAATCTTATGATTTATATAATCTCATAAGGACAATAAATTTAATTTTCTATATATTTATATAAATGTTCTGAAACGTTTGTGATTCAAATTAAGCTACAAGAATAAATATAAAGATTTAAAAAAATGTAAAATAAATTAATAATAAAATTAGTATAGTGAGTGAGAAATGTGAAAAAAATAATATTATTAAATTTAATGAAATCTATAAAAATATCCCGAATCATGTATTGCAAATCTTTCATCCCTCAAATTAAATTTAATCAGTCTCTATTTTGGTTCTGTGAAATTTTTCAGCTCTGCAGAAACGTGCTCGTATGATTATAATTAAGTTATAGAGTTTAATGAGCGATTTGGTGAGTTAGCACCAGCAGCAGTAGAAGTATCCTTCGTTCGTTGGTCCTGGTAACTATAATTTGCAGTTGGCAAGAATCTTCTCTTCTAAGCGAGTTATGTGAGATCGTGTTACGTGCAGGCATCCACGTCAACCCAAGGTTTTGTAAGTAGACCATTATACATAGACACATTATATATATATATATATATATATATATATATATATTTTATATATATATATATATATATATATATATATATATAGATGGACAAAGTAATGATAACTAAAGCAATTAAGAAACTAAGCCCTTATTGATCTGTAGATTATGGTCAACCTCGAGGCCGTCATTTAATCAAATATACTAAGTTGTAGTCCAAATTTTATAACCTGAATAATTTCATGAACTTTTTATGATTTTGTATTATTTTATAAAAATAATATAACTAGTTGTACAGATGGGGTTATCATATCCGAAGCCATATCGGTTCGGATTTGACTCCGCTTCAGATAAGAAGCGAGTTATATCCACCGAAAACTAATACTCGGCACAAATGTGTTCTATAGTGTATCATTCGTATATCCAAGAATTTATTAAATATTTAGAAATCTTTTACAACAGTTCAAATATTTTCGTTCATTTTATTATAAGAAATTACTATTTTATGCATTTCATTATGCATACTAATCTCAAATTACAAGTCGAAATTGCGACAATACCAATACTGAAACTTAACGGTAATTCTTCTGCTATAACTGGGCAATCAGGCGACCAGACAATATATAAGTAAATAAACGTCAATATACCAAAGCTTTAAAAATATACAACCAAGGCCAATAAATGTCGTTTTATGAAAATTTTGTTAGGCCATCGAATAGTAGTGTTGACTAAAAAAAAACAGAAACTTGAGAATCAAAATCAATTTTATGATTATTTTTTAAGGAAAAAAAAATAGAATGCTTTTAAACATTTTTTTATTCATATGAAAATAAAGCTGTGACCTTTATGTATGAAATAAGAACAAATCTTCATAGAATATTTTTCACGAAATAATAATATCTACATTCTCCTATTATTTCAACAAGTCATAGTTTAAAATGGCATTTTGCCTCAAGGCAAGTTGCACGAATTAGACCTAATCAAACAAAATTGAGATTTTGATATTTAGATAAAATTTTCAACTGTTTATTTTAAAAATTAAGTAGTCGCTTTAACTTAAATCTAAACATAGCGATTTCTAAAAAACTAACCAACGCGAAATGAATAAATAAATTCAATGAATGGCTTTTAAATTTTTGAAATCGATTCAGCAGTTTTTCAGAAAATGTTGGTAAAATGTCTAATTTAAAAAAAAAACGTCAAAAAACACTGATCATTCTTTCAAACTTCGAAAAACATTTTAAATTAAACAACTTTCTACAGGACCGTAATATTTTAATATGTTCTGTAAGACTTTGGTATTCATCGCCAAAAAAGTGTCATAAAAATCGTCGAAATTTTTGTTTCAACTTTCAATTACAAGAATCAATATCTTTCAAACGATTTTTGAATTATTGAAATCAATTCACTTTTTTGCTATTCACAAAGAAACGGCTTATCCGATCCTCATGCAATATTGACAAACTCTAGTCCTTACCAAATAACATCAAATGGATTTTAAATTTTTAAAAACTGTCCAGCCGTTTTTGAGAAAACGCCATAAAAAGTCAGAAATTCATTTACGTACACTACCACATACTGATTCCAAATTCGGTCTCATTTGATTCAGAATGCCTTGAAACGTTTAAAATTAGTGAATTGGGTATTTTTGGCGAAAACAAACTTTTTCTTGGGAAAGTTAAAAATGTATGTGTGTGCTATTTATAATCCAAAAAATTAATTTGATATTTTTAAAAACTACTCTAAATATTTTCCAACTACTTGAACTAGTATGACTATGAAATACTTCAGAAAAATCGTATAAAACTTGTATAATATTTATATTATAGGTTGTCTGAAAAAAAATAATTTTTTTTAGTTTCACTCACTCACACACACACACTTTCAAACACACATAAATTATTGTGATAAATTTTACTGTATCAATAGTTGAAGAAGCACTCCAATGAGTGATTCACTAATTCTGTTCATTTCTACAAGGATGTGGCTGAGCTAAAAAAATTTAATGTTATTTTTCAAAAGCTTTCTTTCTATTTTCTTGAAATTGTTGTTTCAAAATTCTAATTTTTCCAAAAAATATTTTTCTCAAAATTTTAAAATTCTCAAAAATCTAATTTTTTCAATGTTTTCAAAAATTTTGGAGCTTTTTGTTTTGAGGCACGATGCACCATGCACCGAAATCAGTCAACCCTCTTATATACATTTGAAAACCGCGCTATAATAAATAAGCTGAAAATAAATCTTTTATTAAAAGCCTCTTACAATATCTTTCTCAAACCTCTTACAATATCTAGTTACTAGTCATAGATTGCTCTTAAGAAACTTATGGGTCAGATAAACTGGACCCGCGCTGTACTCCCAGCACCGCGTTGTAGAAGAATTGCGTCTGTAATTCTTAACACGCTCTAACATTTCGCTAACTACAACATAATCCTTAGGTCAGAAGGCATACAAAGTATTATTATTAAAACAAACGTTTGAATCGTAATTACACTGAAGTAGAAGTGCCAGTCGGGCTATCGGGCCACTTAGCCCGCGTTCCGGTCGTTTAGTGTCGGACTACGTGACTGCAATGTCCGCAGCCTGAAATCTAACAGTTTGTGCAGAATTATAGCAGTTGTGGGAAAAAACCTTAAAAATGGGTATATGAGATGAATGTAATAAGTAATTGAACTAGTGGTTTGCGACATTAGGTCAAACGAAGCTTCACGTGATATAAGAGCAATATCTTACATGTTATATGAATTGTTGTGCACCCTTGAGCTAACAACAAATTATGTTGTGGATCCGTTGCCAACAATTATGTTGCGTCACGCCAACGATGTCAACATTTATAATTAGGTTCTTCTGCTGCTAACATTAAGAGTTTATCACTGTGAAAATATTTAATTAAACATTTGAAGACGTTTATTAACTTTATTTACTTCATTATTCGGTTACACTTGATTACAACTTAATACACAATTAATATATTGAAGTGAAGACTGATGTGAAGTGATTGGAAACTAGATTAGGAATGAACGGTTGGTTTCGTCATCCTCAAGCTTTTATAACCTCTGATGATGACGTAACCATCCTTCTAGAAATGTTCATTGATTCATTCCTATTTATTTGAGACGCAAAACCTTACAAAACCGTTACTCTGACTTGCACGTGCGTGTTATCTTTGCATACTTTGTTGCAAGGCTATGCGTCATGCTAACTGCGTTGTTCATATTGACTGTTATATAAAATTTATAATATTATTTATAATTATTACAAAGGGATGGATACCACTACAGAATACAAGTTGTGCACGACATTGTGCCAAGGCAAATCGCTGAAACTTTTGCACTGAAAAATTCGAGTGTTTTCAAATAAAATAATTGGTTGGGCTGGCTACCATCAGTAATTAATATAAAAGCGGACTGTAAAGTAAATAATTGTTATCTGACGATAACCG